CAATATCTGGCCGTCTCCGTATGCAAAGCCGCCGCCGTTTTGACGCCATTGGTACGCGCTTAAAATTTCATTTACTAAAGCGAGATCCCCTTCCTCTTTCTAACCAACGTTACTTCGTAGGACTTGGACACGTTGGATAAGGTGAAGCGCATAGTGGATGTTAATTTAAAGTCGGTATTCCTAGCTTCCAGAGTATCCGCGCTTCACGGTTCTTTATACCTTCTACAAAGCGCAGTATTGGCCAAGTGCGAGGAGACGATGAATATTATACATCCCCTGGCCATCGAGTACATACAGAAGCACATTGACTCGCAGGATTCGAATAGGTGATTCAAGACGAGATCTAATTTTATTTTACTTGACCAAGTATTGAGACTTCCATTCAGTTTTGCCGATACTATTTTGTGGCCGTTATCTAATTTGTTGTTTCGGTACAGCATTCTAAGTCAAAGCGAAGAACATCAGGGTGTAATGTGGGCTTTGGTGTTCTTCCTGTTGGAGCACGCGGAAGACACACCGCCGGACACGGAAGCGCCAGCCGTGTTGGAATTAGTCCTCTCTCTAGTCACGTCCCAAAATATCTCGTACGGTTTACATCAGACACTACTGCAGGTGTGTCACGGCATTCTTCGCCTCTGATCGATGTGGAAGTAATAACGGGGACTGTCGATTTGTTTGTTCTGATAGGGTCTTGAGAGGCTCGTGGCGACGAAGAGCGTCGTCGGCAAGGTCGCCGAGCAGATCGTTAAAGTCGCGATAGACCGACTGAAGCAACCCAGCCCTCTGCTCGCATTACCGGCGCTGCAGCTTTTGCTGACGTGCATGTACACGGAGGCGGCTGATCGGCTGAATCAGCCTGGCGTCGAGGAACCGCTGCCGGATGTGGAGCCGGAGACGCTGGTTCGATCCATCGAACGCACCTCCGCGATATTCGACAAGATCCGCAAGGGACACTCTATGGAAGTGGAGGTACTGTGCGCAGTCCTGTCCTGCCTCCTTGGAGACTTCTTTCCGCCATCGGAGATCCTCACCAAAGTTATAGGGGAATTTCTATCCCCGCAGCAACCGCATCCGAGATTACTCGCGGCAGTTGTTTTTAAGGTTCGCAAATTGATCGAAGGTCTTGAATTATAATACAATCTGCGAGGTAAGAGGCATCTGCGAATATGTGACCCGATGTGATTTTTTTACCGCAGGTCTGTGAGAAAGCGTGTACCTGCACGGAAATGGAGCTTCTTCAGGACTGGGTGGTCTTCAGTTTACCGAATTTTATTCAAAGTTTACCAATGGCAATGTCGACTTGGTGCTTATCCTGTTTCTTCATAAGTGCATCTACAAATCATTGGTTGAGAGCTTTGTATCCTTTTCTCGCCGACGTAATTTAATTTTCTTTAAGGAAGTAACACGATTCCTTAGCTATAACATGGTAGATTTCCGTATATCCAGTCGAGGATAGGGAAGTACGAATATGAAGACAAGAAAATATTGTGCATAGCGGCTTCGGATTTTTACCACAAGGTAGGTTACTCAAACGTTACTTGGCTACTTTGTGTATAAATATTTTATTTGGTAAATATATCAATGAGGCGAGCCCGCCCCGCTCGCGCTGTCGAACTCCCCTCATCGATATATTTACCTTTTATTCAATAATCTGTCGATTTCAGCTATCCAAGGAATCTCAAAAGAAGGCATTTGTCGAGACTTTCGAAGCTGCCGCGAAGGAACCTGGAACTCCGTTTAGCGACATTTTAGCCTCCTTTTAGATAACACCGTAGTCAGGGGGTACTCAAAAGAGAAAAGAAATTCTATCCTACAGCATATTAAACTCAATCTGTAAAAAAAGAATCGTTGTACAATCACTGGTGCGTTGGCGCGATACGTCACGCGTGTACATTTGTATGTATGATATTTATTTTACATTATGTCCCATTAAAAGAGAGAACTGCAACTTGTTTTGCAATAAACAGTATTTTTTAAGCAAAAGCTGTGTTGCATAAAAATGTTCACGTAATATATCCCTTCGATCATCCACAGAAACATCACGTTTTGCATGTCGTTGAATTAAAAGAGGCTTCTGAGTCCAAAAATCTTTGCAGTTAATTTCATATTGTAATAAAAGCAGGTAAGTATAAACCACACAATAAGTAGCTTCCTTCGAATTTGAAAATGTTGAAAAGTGACTTATTTCTTGAAATGTTTTCTCCATAGATAATATAATATCACTTTTTTCCTTCAACAGATCGCTATTATTTTCCTAGATATGAATTCTGGTAAAAAATTAAATGCGCAAGTCTTATGTTATCCTTTATATAAACGAAGATACATTAGATGTATGTACATACATATAATTGAGTCGCTGTCAAAAGTGTATACAGCGAAATGGGAATACTTTGAAGGAAAGTCTGGATAGAAAATTGTCGGCCTGTATATTTAAATATTACGATTTTCAAGCTCTGTGATAGTTTTTATTAGTGAAATAAATCATTTCTATCGTATACAGTGCGAATTGTATAGAATTCAATTGCAACGTGTCGCAGCGCGTGTTGGTATTTTAAGAGCAATGAGTATCAATTGATCGTTTTGCAAAGCTTTACACGTTAACATTTCAAAAGCGAGTTTCAATTGATTGTTTGTAAAGCTTCGGTATGCAATAACAGCACGGCAATTGATACGCGGTGTTAAATTTCCTCAGATCTGCGACGAACCCGAATCGAAACCCGAAACACGTTCGCATCGAAACGCGTTCGTTTCTTTTTTTTCCGTGCGTCGCGTGTATAATATACAATCTTTCGTATAAGCTGTATAACTTTTTATTACATTTCTTTGTGTTCGCGATTCTAAACTCGTCAAGATATTAGTGAACAGAGGAACGGAATTCATTTTAGGCTCTTCGAGAAATGAAAGTTACGTGCTGGTGATGGTGTCACGAGTCCAGTTCGACCTTCCTCGCTAGTATTTCAGTGTCACTGAACGCAAGAGTCCTCGGCGGGGCCTCGATTATGCCGCTGAACACGGTGGATACGGTAAGTTTCGAG